TGCCTTAACATAGCTAGATAACTAAAACAAAGGAAAAAGCAAACAATTAAGGAAAACCGATAAAACTAGTCGTTAGAAGATATCTTGGATCCAAAGGATTTCTTCAAGGGATTTGATTCTGGTTTTGTATCTGGAAGGTTTGAAGGTGTAGGTAAGCTTCTTAGGAACATCTTGAATGATGAATACTTGGTCGAGATCTTTGTAGAATTGGCTTGGAAAGAGCTGTTGGGAATTGATGGCAAATAATTCCAAGATTTGCTCCAAGAATGGCAAGTGAAGTCTTGGTTGATCCCATGGGTTCTGGTGAGTGCTGGTGCATATTAGGACTTCTAGACAAGCAAGTAATACCTCCAAAACGTTGCAGATTTGATGGTTTGGTCGTTGGTGACTTTTTGTTTTTATAACACTGATAGAGATACAAAGTTCGGCGAAACTCAAAAGTGATAAAATAAAAACATGGAAAAGAGATGTCAGTAGACACCATCAACGAGGAAGGAAAAGGCTTACCAAAGTGACTGATGGCGCCTATCTCGAGTGACAGTTAGAGCAATGGCCGATGCAGCCTCGTGTTGTTGTGTAAGAACATGATCCAAACTCCATGAATCTATTCATGTCAAACGCCAAAGGATGCTGTGAAGAATGTGGCTGAGGCTGGGATGTGCATTTGGATTCATACAAGCGTCATGTAAGCACTCTGAGGAAGTCTCCAATATAATATTCGAAAAATGTAAGTTGTGCAAGTATTCCACTGCCCAGAAAAAAGCCCACATGCCAGCCTCGGATTTTGTGCGCATGTAGGAATAGGTCCGGTGGCTATGTATGATTGTGCTTCCTTTTTTATCACGGAGAATCCATGATGCACCACTCGGCTGTTTTGGATTTATCCAGGAGGATCTCACATTACATTTTAGGGATCCATTAGAGGGTTTTATCCATCGAACCTTTTCTATGTCAATATCAACCACACCATCCATCGATCATGTGAATGTATCATACCATGTTGATTCTTCTTCATATGCTCTCGTAGCAATAAAGGAAGAATCAAGACCCTTATTTTTAAAAACAAATGAGTTCCTAGCTTTCCATATTTCCCATAACAACCATGGAAAAACTTTTTTGGTATGGATATCCGAAAATGATTTCCTAGCAATCTTAAGTAAATGGACAAAATTTAAAAATGTGGAATTCCTAGAGAAACCTCCTAAAGGTAATTGGACATTAGAATGATCCCATATGGCATGTGCTTTAACACATGTGAAAAGAACATGACATATTGTCTCATCCTCATTACCACAAACTAGACAAGTATGATCTATCGGAATACCCCGAGTAGTCAAACGTTGCTTAACAGCTAATGCACCAGATAACCCCCACCACATAAAATGTTTATTTTTGGTGGAGCTTTGATTTTCCACAAGTCTCGCCATAATTTCTTTTCAATAGGGGTGAGAGAATGACCTTGAGGGTGATCGTAATCCACCAAGACCTCTAATAACTTATATCCACTTTTAGTTGAATAAGATCCATTTGGGGTGAAAGCCCATCTGATAGAATCTTCACATACCAGAGATGATTTCAAAAGAAGTATAATTTGGACATCCTGAGGTGTAAAAGTCTGCTGTAATAAATTAATATCTCATTGGTTAAACCCTGGCCTGAGCAAATCAGAAGCATTAAGCGCTAAATTTATAGAACTATTTTCACGATACATTGGTGGCCGTGGGATAGTGTCAATAATCCAATTCTCAGCCCAAACATTAGTGTCAATCCCATTACCAATATGTTGATACATACCCTTTTTTAGTAATTCTCTACCGTGCATGATGCTCCTCCATGCATAAGACGGACGTGTCCCAATTCCACAATCTAGGAAATTTCCATTTTTAAAATAATTGCCTTTAAGGATTCGAGAAACCAAGGAGTCGGGGTTATTCCATATTCGCCAAGCTTGTTTCCCGAGCAAAGCCTGATTGAAACGACCAAAATCCTGAAACCCAAGACCCCCCTGTTCTTTTGGTTTACATAATTTTTCCCAAGAAACCCATGGGATTTTTCATTTTTTATCCCCACTACTCCACCAAAACTCTATAATCACACTCGTAATTTGTTCACATATACCTTTTGGTACATTAAAGACAGACATTGCATATATCGGTAGAGCTAAGGCTACTGATTTTATTAGCACTTCCTTGGCACACATCGACAAAGTTTTAGAATACCATCCCTATAGCCGCACTTCTAATTTATCCTTGATAAAGTTTAGGAGCGCTTTTTTTGAGCCTTGAAAGCATTCAGGGAGACCAAGATATGAACCTTCACCACCTTCTTTCTCTATACCCAAAACCTCTTTGATCATCTGTTTATGCACATTGTCTATTTTTTTCCCATAAGTGATGGAAGATTTCAAAGGATTTATAATTTGCCCAGACGCATCTCCATAACATTTTAGTCCTCTCAAAATTTTTTCACTATCACTGACAGAGGCTTCACACAACAACAAGCTATCATCCGCAAACAGCAAATGATGAACAAATGTACTGCCTGTTGCTAACTTTATTCCATGTAACTTCCCTTGTGCTTCAGATCTATTGAAAACATGGACTAAGGCTTCAGCACATAAAATAAATAGAAAAGGGGATAAAGGATCACCCTGATGAATTCCTCTTTCCGGTTTAATAAACCCGTGGGAGCGTCCATTAAGTTACACCAAGAAAGTGACAGTAGTAATGCAGGACATTATCCAAACAACCCATTTCCAATGGAATCCCATTTTTTCTAATAAAACTTCCATGAAGTTCCATTCTACCCGATCGTAGACCTTAGACATATCTGTCTTAATCGCCATACATTCTTTACTAATTTTATCATTTGTACGGAGCGCATGTACCAGTTCATGTGCTATAATGACATTGTTCGTTATTAACCTACCTCCCACAAAGTCCCCTTGAGTTTCAGATATTATATGTGGCAAAACCGTCTTCATATGCTCACATAGAATACGAGAAATAATTTTATATTGTACACTACACATACTTATTGGACGCATATCCTTCTGTAGGGTTTAAAGTTTTAGGCAACAAAGATAACTGTGTATGGTTCCACCCAGCAGGAATGATGGCTGTTTTAAAAAAAAACTTGAACATCCTGAATAATTTTTTGTCTCACAACGTGCCAGTATTTTTGATAGAAAAATCCCGTAAGTCCATCTTCTCTAGGAGCACTACTACTTTTGATACCAAAAGCAGCATCCTTGATTTCCTCAGGGGAAACCTCCCCGATTAATAATGTGTTCATCTCTGAGGTAACCCTGCTTTCAAATCCTTCAAACAATATTTCCAAATCAGTTGGAACTTGTAAACAACTCCCTGAAATATTCAGTAGCAATGTGTCCTTTTGATCCTTCAGAATAATGTTCATTACCAGATATATCTTTTAACATCAAAGTTTTATTTCTCACTATTTTCCCCTTCACCACATTATGGAAATATGTGGCATTTCTATCTCATTCCCTTAACCATTCCTCTCTACTTTTTTGTCTCCAAAAATTTTCCTCTTCCCTGTAAGCCGCCGCCAAATCCTGTCTTAACCTTCTCATGAGACCATAAATAGGGAATTGCTTTGAGCTCTCTTTGTCTAAATCACTCTGCAATCGATCGATCCTAGTTTTTGAATTCCAGTCATTAGCCTTTTTAAGCTTAGAAAATTCCGATATACACCGAGGAATACGATCAAGAACAGTTAAGTTTGAGTTTATGTTCTCAGCATCCCATCCGCGGATAATAGCTTCATTAATCCCTCTCTTGCCGTACATACGTTTATCAAAATAGAACCGACCCCTCTGCAAAGTCTCAGGCTCAAAGGCAAAATCTATACGTAAGGGTCGATGATCAGAGAGCCACATATTCATATAATCGGTAGATGCTTGTGGAAAAAGGCGAAACCATTCTGCATTACCAAAGGTCCTATCTAGTCGACATGTACCCAGTTATGGTTCCGCCTCCCAGCCCAAGAAAGTGTATTTTCGGTATTTCTCATTTCTCTGATTTTACATGCTTCAGCCATATTCCGAAAATAAAAAATTGTGGTTTCATCTCTAATAGCCCCTCCCAATTTTTTCGTCATTATTCATTAACTCGTTAAAATCACCCACCAAGACCCATGCTTCATCCTTAAGCACGCCAATATCCATTAATTTATCCTAGACAAATCTTCTTCTTCCTCTTACTGGATCACCATATACACAAGAGAGAAAAAAATACAAGGGACCCCATGGTGATTTTAAGATCAATAATCCTATTATCACTATGCAGGATTTCAACTTCGTAACACCCTTTCCACATTAGAGATAAACCACCACTACGACCAGCAGGTTCGACCGTGTGTAAATAATCATATCCCAGACTTGATTTTAAGGCATCCATGTAAGCAAATTTCTGTTTCGTCTCCATGAGAAATAAAATATCCGGAAAATACTGACGACATAGATCCCGAATTCGTTGAACCGTATCCGAATTATCGGCACCTCGGAAATTACAACTTCAAATACTCATAATGTAAAATTTTCCAAAATTATTTGTAAGACCCCAAATTAATAAGTTTTAATGAAAACCAACATATTAAATTATTTCCACTCCATCGAGAATTGAGTAAAGACCTACGCATTTGTTGATCCGTATAGGAATCATGTAAATATTCAATGGAGCAAGAACCACGACGCACCAACAAATGTGGAGCCTTCAAACTTAGAATTTTCGTTTTTACGCAAATGACATCTATGGAAACCTATGTTACTCTACCAAAACCATTCACGAAAAGGCCCAATTAACACCCATTTAGAAACTAATATGATCATCCAAAACACCTCAGTAATCGTGATACACGACAGCAACATCTCCTTTACAAGTTGAGCCATACCAACCCATTTTTTCCTGAGCTCATACCCAAGAAACAAGTCTATTACCAAACAAGAAACATTTGTTTCGTGGGAACTAACATAAAGATCAAATTCCATCATCATAGATGCTTGTATAGTCCCTGTGACAGAAAAACCAGAATATGACATTTCCGAAAATTGCATATTCAAATTGCAAATATACTCTATCTCCAAACACGAAACATAAGAGATATAACCAGAAGAATCAGAAACAATCCTGACACCCCAAGGAAAGTCATTACCATACCATATTAAGCAATATGAACGATAGAAACCAAGGTACCAGAACACCATAAGCCATAGAAAATAGAGAAAATTTACACTATAATCCCATACGAACCAATAATAATAATGAAACCAGTGAAAAAACGTTTTATTAATTGAGTCGATTAAACACTCATAGGGGAGTACTCTAAAGGCATGAACATGCCACAAAGAAGAACAACAATAGCAATAAAATAGAAACAAACCAGTAGAGAAAGACTTATCGAGATGGGATTTCATAATCGAATCCAACATTATTCAATTTAAAACTGAGAAGACAAAACTCGAACCAAACAACCTTACTGTGGAGGATTCTTAGGCTTAGTAGTTCCCTTCCTAGACCCTTTCTCTCCTACCTTAGCTGCAGCTTTTCCCAACAACTTCTTACGTGGAGAGACAAATACGGAGCACTTCTCTTCTTGGAAGGACCTCCTGCACCCACATCCACATTCTTAACCTTTAACTTACCATCTTGCATTTCCTCCATCCCATTTATTGTGTCTTCCAAAGCCTTAGCTTCCAAGCCTATCTGAGATTTATCATTCGAAATCTCCAAGTCAGCGAGAGCTTGATCATTTTCAACCATCTCATTATCCTCCATAAATTCTGTTTCTGCACCTTGATTTCATCCTTCCAACTCACCATCCTCCAATAGAAGCTCCGAATCAGATAATAACACCCCTTCAGCCATCAAATTTTCCCCATCTAAATCTGACTGCCTCTGCTCAACCACAACTCTTTCTCTTTCTGACCCCTCAGCGTGACCTCCACTGGAGTTTACCAATGCTAACGACTCATTCTCGTGAAGAGTAACATCAACTAAAGCCTCTGGTTCCTGATCCTCAAAAAGTAAGGCTTTGCGCGCCTTTGAGGAGGCCCCTTTGAAAGCATCAAGCATGAGCTTCTCAGGGTTATCCAGTACACGGTCACTTCCACCAAACTGAGATTCTAAATGACCCCTAGCCTGATTCCGATACTTTGCATTACTAACCTGAGGCGCCTTTTGACCCCTAGTGCCTCTCTCTCTATAAGGGTGGTAAGCCCCTTCCATTCTCCCTTCTCCTTGAGATTCCTTAACTAAACCTTTACCTTTGTCACCACCTCTATAGCATTGGTACCGATTTTTTTGTCCAACTCTGGGGACACCCTTTTGTCTTTCTCCCTACACAACCGCTGTTTTGTAACTTGTAACATTAGCTCCATCACTAAATGGTTCACCACCCTTAGAGTTTTCGGGCACGACTTTGATCAAATTTGGACACCTCGACTGATCATGTGTGAGGTGAATGCACTCCGTACAATAGCCTGTCAGTTTTTCATACCGTAATGTAACCATAATCTCCACTCCTTCACCTATCTCAATAGTGGCCGAAAAGACCAACGGTTTGAAACTGTCAATCTCCACACGGACCCTACCTTCAACGATGTCCACAGTACCCTGAACCTTACCCAGAGCCTCTCCCACGGCTTGAAAGATTTGAGGAACTCTAAACTGAAGTGGCATATCCAGAACATGAACCCAAAACATGATACGAGATGGGTAATTTAGTTCCAGAACCGGTGTCCACCTTACCATAGCTACCATCCAGTGGTCAAAATGGAATGGCTCCATCTTAAGCACCTCCACGATGTCCTCTTCCAACTCGAAGTTAAACTGGAAACGCCCCAAACCAAAGTCAACTCCCACCACTCGGCCCTCAACACCCCAAAATCTTGGAAACATGAATAATAAAGTCTTCATATCCTGCTTATGCAGGTTCATACACGTTCCTATGAGTGTCTTTGAGTAGCTGGCAATGAGATCCGAGTTGTCAAATATTGGGACAGAGATCCTCAACCGTGGCTTCACCTCCTCCATTTTCTTACCACTGGACTTAGTTATCCAGTTCCCCTGTGATATGATAGAACCAACGAAACCAAAAGGAGAAGTAAGAGATACAAAAGAGTGAAATGAAGAAATGAGTATTGTTGTGAAGAAGGTAGAACGATGAAGCTCATTATATAACCTAGTGAGAAAGTTTGTAAACTTAAAACCCAAATCAATTCCTTGATGCCCAATTATAGTAGCGTATCTAAAAGAATCTCTGGAGAGAAACCAATTTATACCCACCACTACCATATTCAACTCCAAGTATCCAAATGATTCGAGAGAACCCAAATCAGAAAGATCATAATAATGAAATCCAAGAACCAAAAGAAACAAGAGATACCGAATCATGTCGCCTATCCCAAATCCAAAATTGGTATCTCGAGAAGATCCAATCTGAGAGCGAAATAAATCCCAGTTAATCCGATCTTCTCCATCCCTTTGCCATAAACGAAAATCCTGATCAGATCTGATCACAATGATCTGTTGCAATCTGACCAATTCGCCAACCTTGAAACCTTTGATAATACTGAAGAAAAAAGGATGTACGATCACAGTAATCCCCGACCCTGAAAGAGGGAACCTTATCATTGACAAATCGGATAAATCGCCATCACCGTCGTCTTTCTCAGATTCTATTGAGCTTTTTCCCAAAGTGTGAATGCATCCAGTTTTGGAAAGTTCCAAAATAATAAGATACCCCTGATCATGTGGGCTCTGGTGCATGGTAAGAACTCTTCTATTCCTCCTGGATCGTTGGATATACTTATCAGATGATTATAAAACTCTCCTGGTCGCCATTGTTTGGTTTGACTAAGATTGAACCGGTGAGACTCCAAATTAAGCAATTGCAGAACTAGTTTGACCGGTTTGGAGAAATTGATCATATCTTCCAATTTTATTGACCATTCCTCGTGATCTTGGGTTCTATAGATATATGATAAACTCCTCTTGAATTCTATGATCGGTTTGTCTTGGAACTCTTCTTTGTTGGGCTTGAAACAACTTCTAAACTCAGATACTCGCAGATGGATGGGTTGGAATACCTCTGGTTTGGAAAATCCATATCCTCTTGGTCCGCGTAGATATTGGTATGATTCCAATTGTGATTGGACCGTATTTGAGTGTAGAAACCATGAAAATTGGTTTCATGGTGAAAACCCTCTTTGTTTCAAAGATATGACATTTTAGGTGTACATACACCCTGGTTGGCACCTTGGTTGGTTAAGTGGAGTGTTGGATGAACCTCCGGTTCAGCTACTGATTTGATGACCGCATCATTCCCTCCCTATTGTAAAGGTTTTGACCTCAAAACTGTAAAACATTCACCAAGATAGAGCAAGTTAGCTTTCATCCTCCATTGGGAGTTTAGAGTCTTACCTTAATATGTTTTTGGTCTAGTGATGCAAGATGCATCTGGTGGCTCTTCTTTGAAAAGATGGGAAATGATTACGCCTTTATTCTGTATTTTGTCACTGCAACTATTCTGGATTGGTTGGTTCTCCAAAATTTTGGTAGTTGACTCTCCTCGCAACATAAGATTATCTGGTGAAATTTCTTTGAAGCTTTCTTCTTTGAAACCTGAAAATCTTGATATTCTGGACAAAAAGCAAGTTCATTATATCTGTGTTGGGACATTGATAAACATAATGTGAAAGTTCCAAACTTACTTTGAGTTCTCTCACCTGGAGATCCAGTGGTTCTTGTTTTATCTTCCCCCTTTGGATTGGCTCAGAAATGATCTCGTTACTTTGGTCTTTCCTAGTAGTGGGCTCAGCTACTCTGGTACATACATTCGTGGCCTCACTCTCTTGTGGGTCACACTTTTGAGTGGTAAAACTTTGGCTTGGATTCTGCCCGCATTTATTGGAAATACTATGCTCATTACTCTTTTGGATCATAAGATCAAAACTTGGGCTTCCTGTACCATGAACATCCAAATTAGTTTTACTAATTATTTATGGGTCTAGAATCATACCTGGTATTTCTCTTGTTGGATTGGGCAGTATGGATGCCTCAGAATCAACCACCTTAGGCAACATATATGGCCAAATGTCTTGAGCTTTATTCTGGTCCATCACAAGAGTTTCTCCTGGTGGTTCTTCTTTGCTGAACTCATGCTCTTTAGGACCTGTATTAACACCTTTTGACATAGACAAGTGTATTTTACAAGTATTGGAAACCAACAAATCAGACTGAATTAAACCATCTATAACATGTCTGATCCTTTAAATTAATAGAGTTAGAGGACTTACCTTGGCTTCTTATGTCCTCCTTTTGGTTGAGAGTTTCTTTTGACTTTTGACATACTTCTTGTAGCCCTTGTGATCCCATCAAAAGTGTAGGGATTGGTCTCTCTTAAACCTTCTCTGTTTGGGACGACCTCATAGCTCCTTTGTGGGGTGTAAGGACACTGGATGTCACCTTCTTGGGCTTAAGGTCGTGAGCACTTATTGGCATAGAAGCAGAGCCTGGTTTTGAGCTAGACATCTCTTCCCTTAATGTTGCTTGGTAATGGCGCTTTGATGTGATGTCTCTCCAGCCTTGATACTTATTTGCTGGAGGAATTTTCTCAACCTCCTCTTGCTTCTTTGAAATGGACAATGACTCCCTTGGATTAGGATAGTAGGCGTGTCTTTTCTCAATAGCTGGTATTGGTTTTGGTGCTGACATTGAACTCCACTGGTTTTCTTGGTACATTAGCTTTGTGGGAATTTTGTTGCTGGTCTTGGGCTTCCTTACAAACTCCCTATACATGCGTCCCTTAAGATCTCCCCAACTGAGTACTGGATTAGAGTAGTAGGTCTGGGCATCTTCTTGTTTCCACCAAGTGTAGGCCTTTCCAATAAGCATATCAAGAGCATATGATAGCTTCTCTTCCTTAGGGACACTCCTTGCTTTAAGCCACTTCTTCATGTCGGCCTCCCATTTTAAATAGACCTCAGGATCCTTGCTAGAGCCTGAGAAGACTAGATAATCAGGTGTGTTCCCACGTTCTGTTCTGACTTGTTTCTTTGCGGCAGCTGGTGTTGATTGAGCTTTTCCTAGTGCTGGTGGGTTTAAGTTGGACTGGTAATTTGAAAGGAGTAACTCCATAGCTGGTTGGATTCTGTGCTTTCTTGAGAGGATTGCAACGGTGAGGATAGGTATCACGTTCTTCTCCCTCTCCCATACTGATTTCAGAATCAGTCTCATGGCTCCATGATTTGTTTTCTCGGCAGCCTCCTTTCTTGTACAATATTATGTTGCCTTGAGATTAGTCTGGTGGTTTAGGTTCAGGTTCAGGACCTTCTTCACTAGGATCATCTCCATACTCTGAATTAGAGTATTCATCAGAAGACCACGATCTTTCACAGCCACCCTCCTTACTGGACCATGCTTGGTCGGTTTCTTCGATATTGGAGTCTTGGCTTGAGTCATAGAAGTCTTCTTCTTCTGAGTAATCTTCTATGACTTCTCTTCTATATTTTCTTAATGGTTTTACCTTGCACAAACAGAAAGAAAAATAATCAATTCGTGGTTGATCAAAAGAAGGAAGGAGAATAAACAGCAAAATGGAAATTTTTTATTTTTCTTTTGAAAGTTTGAAAACAAATGGAAAAATTCTTTTTTTTTTTGAAATAAAGACCAAAATAGCATCAATTCAAGTTTTTACTCTTATGCCCATTCTTTGATTAATTAAAAAATAATAGATTAATGGATGATTTACCTTTATGTCACTTTTTTGACTAATTTACTCTAAAACCCTAAACCATGAAACTTCAATTCTAAATCTTAAACCGTTAAACTTCCACTCCAAACCTGAAATATCAATTTTAGAACCCTAAACCTTGCAACTTCAAATCTAAACCATAAACCTTAAAACATCAATTCTAAACCCTAATCACTGAAACTTCAACTCTAAACCCTAATCCTGAAACTTCAACTCAAATCCCTAAACCCTGAAATATCAACTCTAAGACCCTAAACCCTAAAACTTCAACTCTAAACCCTGAAACATCAACTCTAAAAGCCTAAAACCTGAAATTTCAACTCTAAACTGAAACATCAACTCTAAAACTTTAAACCCTTAAACTTCAAATCTAAACCCTAAATCCTAAAACATCAACTCCAAAACCATAAATCCTGATGTTTCACTTCTAATCCCCAGAAACATCAGAAACATCAACTATAAAAAACTCTAACTCTAAAACTTCAACTTTAATCCCTAAACCATGAAATATCAACTCCAAAACTCTAAACCCTAAACCATAAAACTTCAACTCTAAACCCTAGACCCTGAAACATCAACTTTAAAACCCTAAAAACTGAAATTTCAACTCTGAATCCTGAAACATCAACTCTAAGATCTTAAATCCTGAAAGTTCAAATCTAAACCCTAAATCTTGAAACATCAACTCTAAAACTATAAACCCTGATGTTTTACTTCTAAACCCCTGAAACATCAACTTTAAAAAACACTAACCCTAAAACTTCAACTCTAATCCCTAAACCCTAAAATATCAACTCTAATACCCTAAACCTTGAAACTCAACTCTAAACCCTAAACCCTGAAACATCAACTCTAAAACCCTAAAACCTGAAACTTCAACTCTAAACCCTAAAACATCAAATCTAAAACCTTCAACTTTGGAACTTCAAATCTAAACCCTAAATCCTGAAACATCAGCTCTAAAACCCTAAACCCTGATGTTTTACCTCTAAACCCCTGAAACATCAACTCTAAAACCCTAAACTCTGAAACTTCAACTCTAAAACCCTAAACCATGAACTCTAAACCCTACACCCTGAAAATCTAACTCTAAAACCCTAAACTCTGAAACTTCAACTCTAAACCCTGAAACTTCAACTCTAAACCATAAACCCTGAAAATCCAACTCTAAAACCCTAAGCCCTGAAACTTCATCTCTAAACCCTGAAACATCATATCTAGAACCCTAAATCTTGAAACTTCAACTTTAAACCATAAACCCTAAAAAATCAATTCTAAACCCTCAAACTTCAACTCTAAACTCTAGCCCTGAAATTTCAACTCTAAACCCTAAAGACTGAGACATCAACTCTAAAACCCTACACCATGAAACTTCATCTCTGAATTCTAAACCCTGAAACATTAAATCTCAAACCCTAAATCTTCAAACTTTGACTAAGATTGAACCGGTGAGACTCCAAATTAAGCAATTGCAGAACTGGTTTAACCGGTTTGGAGAAATTGATCATATCTTCCAATTTTCTTGATCATTCCTCATCATCTTGGGCTCTATAGATAGCTGATAAACTCCTCTTAACTTCTATGATCGGATTTGTCTCGTAACTCTTCTTTTTTGGGCTTTGAACAACTTTTAAACTCAGATACTCGTAGATGGATGGGCTAGAATACCTCCGGTTTGGAAAATCCATATCCTCTTGGTCCGCGTAGCTCTTGGTATGATTCCAATTGTGATTGGACCGTCTTTGAGTGTAGAAACCATGAAATTTGGTTTCATGATTAAAACCTTCCTTGTTTAAAAGATATGGCATTTTAAGTGCACATACACCCTGGATGGCGCCTTGGTTGGTTAAGCGGAGTGTTGGATGAACCTCCGGTTCAGCTACTGATTTGATGACCGCATCACTCTACATCATCCTCACTGTCTGAATTTTCTGAACTTCCCTGTTCTTCTGTGTCTTGTTGAGATACTTCTGTATATCCGAGACCAGAAGATTCACTCTGCTCGTATTTATAACCACTAGGACCTCTTAGCAGACTAGGACTGAACGAAACCTTCTTCTTGAATTTATTTGTCCCTTCCTGTGTAGTTCTTGAACCCTTACTGCCTTCTGTAGTATTCTGACTTAGGGTATCCTTGTAAACCTCCTCTTCCCTAAACACAACATTTCTACTCGTAGTACATTTTAGATACTCAGGAATCCACACCCTGTAGCCTTTAATACCAAACGGGTAACCAAGAAAGACACCTTTTACAGCTTTAGGACTAGTTTTCTCCTGCGTAACATGTACATAGGCTGTACATCTAAATCTCCTTAAGTGTGATAAATCAGGCATTCTCTGACCAAACTTCCTCTGGTAGTTTGAAGTCAATGGTAGAAATTGGTGTCCTGTTTATCATATAAACTGCAGTTGAAGTAGCCTCTTCCCAAAACTCTGGACCCAACCCTGTTTCTGCCAGCATGCTTCTCACTTTATCCATAATGGTGCGGTTCATACGTTTTGAAACCCCATTTTGTTGAGGAGTGTAAGTGCAAGTTCTATGCCTCTTAATTCCATACTTTCTGCACAAGTCATCAAACTGATTGTTATAGTATTCCAAACCATTCACTGTGCGTAAGCATCTTATACTCTTCTTTGTGTAACTCTCTACTGCCTCCTTCCAATATCTGAACTTAGAGAAAGCTTCATCCTTAGTTCTTAGGAAATACACCTAGACCTTCTTAGAATAGTCATCGATGAAGCTAATGAAGTATTTGCAACCTCCCAGACTTTCTGGTGTTGAGGGAGATCCCCAAAGATCTGAATGCACATATTCTAGTATTCATGTAGTGTGCTTAGCCGTAGGAAAACTTTGTTTGTGTGATTTTCCCAATACGCATCCTTCACAAAACCCCAGCTCACCTACTTCAGCTTTTGATAGAAATCCCTCCTTCACAAGTAGCCCCATGTTCTTAGAACTCATATGACCCAAACGTGAATGCCATAATTTAGTCTTAGAACCAATAGCTTGACTGACATTAGCTTCGCCTTTTGATACAGTTCCTTGTAAGTAATAGAGTTCATTAGCATATTTGCATGAGATGACTTTCTGTCCTTCTTTGTAGAACGTAACTTAAAATCTCCACCTTCATAGTTGCATCCTGACTTCTCAAGCATACCATATGAGATCAGATTTCTACTCATATCAGGCATATATCGTACGCCTTTAAGAATAATCACATCTCCATCATCATTTGTGATTCGTATTTTTCCAATGCCTTTTACCTCACTCTGAGTATTGTTAGCCATCAGTACCATACTGCCATCTTGTTTTAGATCAAACAAAACATATTTGTAAGGAGTAATGGGAAATGTGCAACCAGGGTCTAGAATCGATTCTTGTTTAGAATCATGAGTACTTGCTGTTAGCACTAGTGGTTGCCTTCTTTCCATTACAACATTAACTTCTTGTTCACTATTACTGCTCTGATCTCTGTTTGGACACTCACGTTTCCAGTGACCTTATTTGCCGCATTTGAGATATGCTCCTTTCTTTGTTTTGTTTAGCCTGCCTCTGGACTTTGATTTATCACCTCTACTCTTTGATCTGTAATTCTTCTTACTGTTGTTACCATTTTCTTGTCGCTTAGATGAACTTCCTCTTGACTCAACATATAAGCCTTCAGAGTTAGGTTTTTTTTTTTTTAATAACCCTTTTTGTCTAAGCTCCGCTTCTTTTGAATATGCCGAGGTAACAACTTCAGAAACTGTAAGAGTATCTTTTCCAGAACCATACTGAAGAGTGTGGACCTGTGGCTCATACGCAGCAGGAAGGCCAGAGAGCAACTGGATCGCTTGATCTTCATTTGATATGGTAATCTTCAGACTCTCCAGATCAGCTAATCTGTTGATTTGTCTTCTTCCATTTTGTAGTAGGAGAACTGCTTCTTCAGATAGATCCTATTTGGAAGAGACTTGAGCTGGTACTGCTTCTCTAGTGCCTTCCAGCAGTTGGTTCGTTCATAACCTTCCTCAAAATAGAGTCGCTCAAACTGGCACCTAGTAAGCTTCTTACCCCCATATCCTTTTCTGCCTTCTTTTGATCAATTACTGGTTCTCCACCTTCTACTTGTTTTTCTGACTTAGAATATATGGTGAAACCATCCATAATTGCTTGCAGAAGCCCCTGGATCTCGAGTTGTCCCATCATCTTTAACTTTCATAAGCCGAAGTCACCTTTAACAAAAACTTGTCTATCTGAAACTTTCCATGTGTTGGTTCCATCTTGAGACGATGAATAACAGAAGATACACTGCAACAAGAACACTCAAACCAGCAACAACAACCACAGATAAGTAAACCTCTCTATCAGATCTGACCTTCTCTTAGACCTAGCACCCAACCTTGTGCTCTGACACCACTTGTAGAGTTATCAGATTCAAATCACTTACGTTTAACTTCTTCAATGTGTTTATGTTTGAGTTGTTTCGTTTCAGGTTCGATA